TATTGCTCTACTGCTCCTGTAAAAAATCCTGTCCTACAACAAATAGCACAGATAGAACAGGAGGACAGACAGCTTATTTTCTTATTTCCAAAAGCCTAGTAGAAAACAAACATCCTCTCAAGACAAAGTCCTGAGTGATACTAGAATACCAAGTTCTTTTGCTTTTATCTGGAATCATATTCCTTAGTTAGAATCAAACTTGATAGTTAAGGTGCTTTTGATTCATAAAAATGGGTAAAGAAATTATTACAAAATATGCTTTGTTCAGCAGACAACATCTTTTTAAATGTCATGTTAAGGAAAGGGGAGAAGAAACAGTAAAACAGCACACGTTGTTTAGAAGAATGGAAGCCACGCTTTAGAAGGGAATCCTCTTGGGTCAATGCCTCCCCTTACTACAGAGGGCATAGTTACTGTTTCCACTGGCTCAAACAAACAACAATTCTATTTCTCAAAGATTCTACAAAACTCACTCAGCTTCTCTTCCATTAAATAACTGCCACTCCCCTTTACCTCAAAGATCTAAAAGGAATTCGAATTTACAGCACCCTCCAGCACCCCCCTCCCACACACACACACACATACTTTCTATCAATATCATACGTAAATCTGTGATCCAAACTATGCTAATCTGATTCTCCCTCTACCATATCTGACTCTTGAACAAAGACACTTAGAGATGAAAAATGAATATAGCTGAGTCATATGAGAGTTACATTAGAAGAGGCCAATTCCCTAGTCCTGGCTGCTGGGATCCCTGGAGTTGCCCTTGTTCTGAACTCTTCCTCAGCCCTACTAGTTCAGCTCTCCCGTACTTAATGACTTACTTATGTATAATATAGAATTTGGCTGGTTTTTATCTTAAGGTCAATTTCCTTGATGATAGGAGTACCTTTGCTATTTGTGGTGGGCTCTGGATCACACTTGAGTTCATGCTAATAAGAGAACTCTGAGTGGGGGCTGGTCACCAGAAAGATCAACCATGTAACTAAAGCATTGGGACTTTGAGCCAAGTGATATCAGTCCAACCTTTGGGGAGGAACAGGAAGCTGGAGATTGAATTCAATTATGTGGTCAATCAATCATGCTTATATTATGAAAGTGAAAGTGAAGTCGCTCAATCGTGTCCGACTCTTTGTGACCCCATGGACTGTAGCCTACCAGGCTCCTCCATCCATGGGATTTTCCAGGCAAGAGTACTGGAGTGGGTTGCCATTTCCTTCTCCAGGGGATCTTCCTGACCCAGGGATTGAACCCAGGTCTCCCACATTGCAGGCAGACGCTTTACCGTCTGAGTCACCAGGGAAGTTCTTTATATTATATTATAATATATTAATATATTATAGGAGACCCCAATAAAAACTCTGGACAATGAAGCTCAATTGAGCTTCATGGTTGCATTATGACTCACGTGCCAGGAGGGTAATGTGTTCTGATTCCATGGGGAGAGGGCACAGAAGCTCCACATTCAGGACCCTACAAGACCTTGCCATACAGGTATCTGTCTTCCTTTTGCTGGTCCTAATTTTTTTCCTTTATAATAAAATTATAATCATAGGCATAGGACTTCCCTGAATCTTGACAGTCATGTAGTAAATTATTAAACCTGAGGGGACTGTTGGAACCCCTGCTTTTGTAACCAGTTATTCAGAGCACAGGTGATCTGGAAACACCTAAAGCTTACAGCTATTAATAGTTTGGTGTCTGAAGTGAGAGTAGTCTTTTTTTTTTTAGAGTAGTCTTGTTAGGTACTGAACCTTTTCTTATGAAGTCTGCACTAACTCTGGATAGTGAGTGAAAAATTGCATTACATTATTTCATTTAATGACTCTCTCTGCTTCATCTTCCTCATCTGTAAATGGAGACAATTGTAATAAGTGTACTTCATAAGATTTTTGTAAGAAATAAATGAGTTAATATACTTAAAGCACTCAGAACATTGCCTCAGTTCAGTTCAGTTCAGTCACTCAGTCGTGTCCGACTCTTTGCGACCCCATGAATCGCAGCACGCCAGGCCTCCCTGTCCATCACCAACTCCTGGAGTTTACTCAAACTCATGTCCATCGAGTCGGTGATGCCATCCAGCCATCTCATCCTCTGTCGTCCCCTTCTCCTCCTACCCCCAACCCCTCCCAGCATCAGGGTCTTTTCCAATGAGCCAGCTCTTCACATGAGGTAGCCAAAGTATTGGAGTTTCAGCTTCAGCATCAGTCCTTCCAATGAACACCCAGGACTAATCTTCTTTAGGATGGACTGGTTGGATTTCCTTGCAGTCCAAGGGACTCTCAGGAGTCTTCTCCAACACCACAGTTTAAAAGCATCAATTTTTCAGCTCTCAGCTTTCTTCACAGTCCAACTCTCACTAGCACATGTTAAATATCAGTTTTTTAGTTGTTATTGTTGTTTTTATTACTAAAGTTCAGAGCTGGCTAATGTAGAAATTATCAGGCTTCTTGGCTTAAATCTAAATAACACAGAGAAAAGACTGGCTCCAACATTAGTCAGAAAATGTTAACAACACTAATCACATAGACGGTACTGACATTAGTCAGCTAATGTTCTGAATAGAAATGACCACTGCTGATAACTACATCATCTAGCAAAACCCAGGCCAGCAAGTTTGAGCCAATGCCAGAATAATACGCACTTTTTGTAGCCCTGGAAATTGTAACTCCAGAGTAATTAGGAGCTTTACTTGGAATAATGAAACAAATTGTTTGGAGAAATAGTACATAAGATTCTCACTTTTAGTTTGTCAAACCATCAGGCATGAAATATGGTGAGCAAATCCAAAAACTATATGTATGTATCATTTCTAGCTTAACTATGAGCAACATCACTGTGCATTGAAATGTTTTTCTCTGATATCAGTGATGGGTACCAACTCTTAAAAACTCACTCCATCATCTTCCATCTTCCTGTCATTTAGAACAGGTTTGGAAGTGTTTCAATTAGTTGCTAAGTCCAGAAATAAAGTCCTTACCAGAAAATTGTCTTGAGCTGTTTTCTAATATTATGATTTAGTCCCTCTGTTTCTGCATTCTCTTGGTCACTTTTCCTTCCCAGTTCTTCTCTGTGGCTTTCAGAAAAGGCCAGGAATGTTCTCCCTGCCATCTTTCATTCTAAGTTCTTACTTATGACATCCACTCTTAAAACCCAGGCGCCATGGCCTCAAGTTATTACAGAAAAAGAAGAAAACTAAAATTAAATGGTAGTGTTAGAAGATTTTTCCTGGCGGTGCTGGTATCATTCCAAATATCATTTCTGTGCTTGATCTCTCATCAGTAGACAGCCTAAGTTGCTCAGGAGCTATTAAACAAAAGCACCCCAAGGAACTCAACTTCTAATGATTTCCAGTAAGCTATGTATATAGCTAAGTTATGATTCTTCTAAACCGATTTTTAAAAAATAGAGTTAACAGGAAGTATCAGCCTGTCCATCCTACAATCAGGATTAGCATCTAGGTCTTCCTGTTTAAATCTAATGTTTTCCATCTACATTATAGATAATCCCTTCCAGAAGTGAAATTCCATAATCCTAGGTAAGAATTTAAACAAAAATAGAAACTGCCTCATTCCTACCAAAACTGATCTTCTCTACAGCCAAATTAGTGCTTTCAACCAAGGTGGTATGGAAAAACAATGGCCTAGAGAGCAGAAGGCCCAGGTCTAAGTCCTGGCTCCACTATTTACTAAATACAATGAACAAATAACTTAATAAATCTAGGCCTAAGGTTCCTCATCTGAAAAACCACAGACCCTGGTGGTCACTTATGTTTAATTCTTCTTAGTGTCAAGACCTACCCTCAGAGAGCCAAGGGACAGACTGTTTCCATTCTTGTTCATATCAAAGGACACTCTAGCCACAGACACAAATGGAAAGGAAGCTAAAGCACTTTTTTTTCCCTTCCCTTTGAAGTCTCACACAGTTAGACATGCTCTTTCATTTGGAATTCTGAAGCAAATGCTCTAGGAAAAACAACCCCTTCCCAAAGAAAAGGTACTCTTAGTTTAGTGGGGTTTGCCAAGTGGCCCAGGAGTAAAGAATCCACCGACCAATAAAGGAGACACAAGAGATTCGAGTTCAATTCCTGGGTCAGGAAGATCCCCTGGAGGAGGGCATAGCAACCTACTCCAGTATTCTTGCTTGGAAAATTCCATGGACAGAGGAGCCTGGCGAGCTACAGTCCATGGGGTCACAAAGAGTCAGACACTACTGAGAGACTGAGCGCTCAATCACAGTTTAGCAGTCTTACACAAGAAAAGAATTTAAAGACCTAAAGCTTTAATAAGTTCAACACGAGCCTGCAGAGTGATATGACTGCTGAAGACACCAGTAGCTAATCAGACTGCATTAACAGACACACAGGGCAGTTCTGTCCTGATCAAACCACACCTACAGGTCTGCGTCCAACTCTAGGAGCCATGATCTAAGAAAGACATTAATGAAAGTGTCTACATGAAGGAGACCAAGATGAAGAGTAGGATGGGGGAAAAAAAAAAAAGCTTTCTTCTAACTAGGCCTATTTTACCTGGAAGAGAAGACTCAGAGAGAGTCTTAACTGTACTTTGACCCAATCTTTGAATCATCCAGGACTCAGCAGAGCCAGGATTAAGTGCGGATCTTCAGAAGAAAAGGGCTGCTTCAAAAACTCAGCAGGCTCCCTGTCTCTGGAGAGGAAGCAGCCAAAGTTGGGGGGTGGGGGGAGCTGGTGAAGAGAGGGGTAGGGCAACAGGATGGTTTTCAATAAGAATTCTACGGAAGAACAAACCCAACTCTCTTTGGAGCATCTTTCCCCATTCTCAGCACAGTGACTCTACTCAGTGTTATTCAGTCTCGATACAGTCTCTTTTCAGTGACTGGACGCAGAACCATTTCCATAGTTTGCTCTTTACTAAGCATTTTTATTCATGTCCTTTTAAAGCCAAATTGCTACCCATCTTCTTCTCTCTTCTCTAAACCTTCCAGGAACTAGGACTGACAACCCAGCTATTAATTACCTTCTGAAGACTTCCATGCCTTCCACAGGTCTTCCACGCTGATGAGCTTATCCTCACCATGGAAGGTGCTGTGTTTCACTGTTGGGTCATGGTAATTGAGGTCTTCCCTCAGGAACTGCAAGGGAAAAGCACACAAGTCACAAAAGACATCTGGGCGCCACCCCACTAAGATCTCCTCACAGGACACAGCACATCCCATCTGCCGGATATACAAGTGTATCACATCATCTATATGTCCTTCCATGGGAATATGTCCTACTTGCCAACCAGACTGCCTTTTCTTCTTTGTTACATGTTTCACTCAAGAAAAAAATATAAAATAAGAAGTTCCTTCCTCATATTTTTTAATCATGGAAAAAGGAAGAGGAATTAACAACTTTTGAGCACTTATTTATTCACTAAGCAACATTCCAAGAGCTTCTATTTTCTCATTTAATCTTCACAACCAATGGATTATATCATACCTATTTTACAAATGAGAACAGTAATACTCTACAAGAACACAATTTGCCCCAAATTTTGCCTCAAAACATTAAGTTTAAAGAGATTAAATTACTTGTTGTGAAGATTTTAAAATATGTCCTCAAATCTTTGACAATCCTCCCAAAAAAGTCGAACTCTCACCTTGAACATAGACTGACATTAGTGACTCATCTTCTAAAAAACAGAATGTGGCAGCAATGATGCAGAATGACTTCCCAGGCTAGGTTAGAAAAGGCAATATAGATTCCACCTGGCTCACTCCCCTTTGGGACAAATGCCTTGGGAGCACTAAGCCAACATGTAAGAAGCCTGGCCACCCTGAATCTGTCATTCTGGAGAGGTCATTTGCAGAGACTATAGAGAGCTAGCAATGTCTGAGCCAGGCCCAGATGTCTGAGTCCTCCAGCCCAGGAGTCAGACAAGTGAGTGACTGAGACTTTAGGTTATTCTAGCCCCCAGTTTTTGAGTTACTTCATCTGATGCCAAGTGGACACAGAGGAGCTGTGCAAGAAGAGGGGGTCAAGTGACAAACGTAAGCTGATGGAAGCTATACCTAAAGGAAGGGTCAGATGCTGAGTGGAACCTCTTTACGGAACAAAGAAGTGGGGCTGCAACCATCAAGCCTTAAGGATAGGAAAGGAATGTACTGTAAATATAGAGTCAGAACCTATAGAAACAGACCATTTCCTGTGTGACTTTGGGGCAAGCAACTCAGCATCTCTGAGCCTGTTTTCCCCTCAAAATGAGGGCTAATTATCCCTCTCACTTGCGTGTGGTAAGGATCAAATAAGTCATGTTTACAGAAATCATAAACTGCCTTTGCACATGTCTTTTAATAGCCCACAGAGCATTTTATAAATTGAAACTATACATAAAAAATCAAATTTCACCCCAAAAGTCCACCTCTCTTTAAAGAACAACCTAAAGGTCTAGGAACACTGAACTCCAGTGACAACTCTAGAATTTTATTTAGGAGAGGCTTAAGGGCTGCAGTTTGATGGGAAGGGAGGGTGGTGGCTAAGGGACTTGTCATAAGACTGTGCTTGCATAGCAAGCACATTGTGTTTATGTAGATTGCTCATTAAAAATTAATATTATAATGCAACATTTTATAAAGATGTTTTTGTTTCAATTTTACTTAAAATTAAGAAAAAATTAAGTGTCTATATCAAACAATATGATGTCACAGTTGGGGCAGCTTAGAGGAGGGGGAGTGGGTACTGAGGAAGATAATGAGGGCTTCTTGATCATAGATGATACTTCTGTGCGCCCATGGCCCCTGTGTATACTGTCATCAGTCTTGTTATGGGTCTAGCTCCCCTTCCAAACTGTATATCCTTTGACAGACAGTCCCAGTTACCTAGCTATAAACACAGCATTGGAAAATATTGTGCAGAACCAGAACTCTGATGTCGAATATACTTGAAGCAGGCATTATCCCATATCACTCTGAACTGTCCCACATTCAGCTAATAGCTAAAGTCTAATTTAAGACAAAGTTTAAAAGCAATAAAAAAGCAAAAACAAAACCAAAGAGGCAACTCGCAGCTCCCACAACAAGGATTTACTATCTCGGACTCAGAAGAAGTGGCTCTTCTGTCAGGAAGGCCTAAGAGGCTCCGTGAGAGTCCTGTCTCACCAGGGGGAATGCAGCACTGGCTACAGCTGCAGCTCAGCAGCACTCTGAAGAGCCAAGGGACCAGTTGTCACTAGGTACATTTAGTTCTGTGAGCTCAGAAAAGTGATTTCCCTGGCAGTGGTACAAAGCATGCAACCCCATCCCAAGTGAAGCAGTAGTGAAGGGGTATGGGTGAGAGCAGACAGGAGGGGAGACATCTCTCCAGAATTCCCAACAAAATACGTCCATCCAGCTTCATTAGGGAACAGAATTCACTGAGGTAAAGCTGGAAGAGGAACAGCACATCTTTGGATGCAGGAATCAGGCAGGCCTCCTGGGTTCTTCCCTGGAAGCAATTACTCCTCCTTCCCCCTTTCACCTTGCTCCCCAATGCTCACCCTCCATGTTTCCCAAACCATACCACACCACCTGCCCTCCCGCTTCTCCATACATACAATGTTAATAACCCACAACACATATACCTCAGATCTGAGAAGCTTCCCAACTCTTGTTTACCACTTGAATATCTAGCAAAGACCCATGACAAATTTTAGCTACAACAGCTCTGCACACCATTGGTACTGAATGCTGGGATGTGAACATGTCAAGGTGAAATATCTGTTTTCAGTGAGACCAGAAGCTTTTGCTCAAGGTAAGGGAGAAGACAGTCATTTCTCACTAACCTTTGTACATCTAGTCATACTCCTGCAGCCCATCTACCATACTACTCACCAAAATGAGATTTGTAAAGTATAAGTCTAATTATACCAACATACCTACTTAAAACCTCATGACTCCCCATAACCTCCAGGATAAAGCCCTAGCTTCTTGGGCTTACATTCAAGGCCTGTTCCAATCTGGCCCATAGAGTAACTTCTCCGTCAGTTTCCTGGCCATTCTCCCTCCCTATCAGACATCTACACTCCAGGCCAGGGGTCGGGAAACTACAGTTGTGGGCCAAATCCATCTTGCTGCTTGTTTTTGTAAATAAAGTTTTTCTGGAATACAGACACGTCATTCATTTATGCACTGTCCACAGTTGCTTTCATGCTTCAAAGGCAGAACTGAGTTGTTGTGACAGAGACTATATGGACAGGAAAGCCTAAAATATTGACTACTATCTGGCTGTTTATAGAAAAAGTCTGCCAACATTTGCTCTAGATACATCAAGCCACTTCAGGTTCCTTGAACAAACCATGATCCTTTATACTTCTAAGCTTTTACACAAGGTGCTCCGTTTAATATATATATATCTCCTCTTTCATCTGCTGAAGAAAAAGTCTCTGCTTCTGTGAAGTTTTCCAGATCTTTCCCAAGCAAGTTAATTGCCCTCTCCTATTTGTTCTCTTAGTTCTCAGGGTCATACATCTATGACAGTACTTATCCCATTATACCATAATTGCTATTTAATTACTCCCCTTTTACTCCCCCTAAGCAACTCAAATATAGAAATTGTATTTTATTTGTCATTTATCTCTTTATCCAGCACCTTGCAAATTCTCTGGAACACCTAAATAAATAAGTAATTCAGCTCTATAAGCCAACCTCCAGGCATACAGCCTGGCACAGAGCAGGGTATGTGGTTATTAAATAACTGAATGAGCGTCTCTCACTTGAGCTTGCCCTACAAGACCCAGAAGAATGCGTAGTTTACAATTGGTAGTCAATGCATATTATGTCTACTATACAGAAGAAAGAAAAGTGTCCCCAGATTGCCAGCCAATCTAAAACAAAGATATTCATCTAGGAGTCAGGGGATTATACTGGCTTGGGTTCAATATAACATGATGGTTTCAAGCTTGGTTCTGGCGTCGGTATTATAAATGGATTAATTCACATAAAGAACTTAGAATAGTACCTGGCACAAAATAAGCTCTCATATGTATGAACTGAGCTCCACTAAATATTAATACATTTAATATACTAGAAAAGGAACAAAAGGATACTAAGAACATTCAATCCTGAAGCCCACTATTACAATGATGCTGATCTCTCATGTGTAAAGAAGACACAAAAGAGGTAGAAGACAGATAGGTCCTAAGTGCTTGTTATTCAATATATCAAGACCATGTGCCAAACAATCAGCAATAGACAAGGCACTGTAATCTATTGCCTTCTAAGGCCCTTTCTATTCTATTCAAAGATTCTTACTTTGAAAGCTTTAACTCCATTTAAAATAGAAATTTCACCTTGGCAAGACCCTATCTGCCTTATTTGCCATATCAACTGTCACTTCTTCCCATCCCCAGTGATAATGAAATACTTGAAATTCCCTGAATGTACCAGGCTCTTGACAGGTCTCACATCTTTGCACATACTATTCCCTTAGCTAAAACACTCTCCTTCTCCTAATCATTCCAAATCATCTTTTCAGATTCAAATGACACATTAGCAACTCTGTACATGGGTAAAACTAACTTAACTCTTCCTCTTCTGTGATTCCATCATAATATCCACTTATCCTTTTTATATCCTTATCTGTTTACACAGCTATTTCCACAACCAGAGGAACATCTTCTAGGCAGCAACTTCACCATTCACTTCCATATACCTAGTACCCAGCACATTTGCAGGTACAGAGAATCTCTCTGAGGTCAATAATATAGTTTAGTCCTTGTCATGGAATTCTCCTTGATGTCCTCAGGCCATGACATTGGTCATATGATGCAGATCAAATCTTAGAGGTAGCATCTAAAGTTGCAACTTGCTAAGTACCTGGCCAGAATGGTAAAGACTAATCAATTTAACATCTCCAGTCTTGAAAACTATCAGGACCAAAGTATCCAAACACAGGCCAAGGACTACTGCCTGGAGATTCTTATGAGACGGGGATGAAGATGGATCACTAAAAATATTTCCCCAGAGAGAAAGGATTATCTTCTTAATTGGGATCAATTCTGCTATATTTGGGCTTCCCTGCTGGCTCAGTGGGTAAAAAATCAGCCTGCAATGCAGGAGACGGCCTGCAATACAGGATACCTGGATTTGATCCCTGGGTTAGGAAGATCCCCTGG